CGATTTAAATTGCAGTGAAATAAATAAGTAAAATACTGCACAACAAGGATATACATGAATCCTTATTTTACGTTACTTAGTACAAACGACAAACTCATCGCTAGCAAGCGATTTCTTCCAGGCAACCTAGCATTACATGGAAAAAAGAACAATAAATAACTGATTGTGCGTACAACTAGACAAATAATAATCATTTAAAAAGATCAAAAACAAAAGAAGGACAGTTTCTAGGTATGAATAAAATTCTCAGACACAAACGACAACCAGAGCGCGAGAACAAGAAAAAAGATAGAAAATTACATTCGTAAGGACAGGATGGGTGACCAAAACATTATTATCCTGAGCACTGTGCACAACACTGGCACAATGTACGTTAAGCCGTTAGTCCTGGCTGCATCAGTAACGTTAACACCCACCGATCCGCATTAAGCCCGCATAGTGGGTTATGGCCCATTGATCTTATTTGATTCGACTCCATCCATAGGAATAAAAGAATTCTACCAAAATACTTCCCACGCAGACGAAGTTGCGGGCACAGCTAGTATTATAATATATCTGTCACCATTGATGCGTAAGGAAGACATTGAACTAATAACATTGTACTTCAGATAGATAGTACAATGGTACAATGCAAATAGTCCAGATTCTATTAAGATGCGATTATTATGTAAACATTAGCAGAATTGGCCTGCTGTTGTTCTGTGAGGGGCGACAGCCTGAAGTACAGATCACCTGGACCAGGATTTTTGTGTGTATGTTAGACTATTTTTATCAATAGTGGTCGGTTTTTGGTGATTCTTATTTTGTTTGATATAAACTTAAGTTAGTATATGCCATTTTTATTAATTAAATCGTGGATCCGGTTTTGTTTAAAATTGTACAACATAATTATTAATTTTCAAATTATAGTCGTGTACGTTGTAACTTCCCGTAGGTGAAAGATCGGATCAGTATTTGCGAAGATTACCCCCTACTAATAAATCAAGTCAGACACTTTACCTATTAACTGTAAGAATTGTAACATCTTAATAATTTTGACGTTCCAAAAAATTAAAATATTCTGACGTACTGTTGAATAATAAGCTTTAAAGAGCTAAAAAATCAATTAAAATGCATTTCAATTACAATCCCGCATCAACATAGGAATTAACGTAATTGAGTCATATTTTAGCAAGATAACGTTTTATCTACCAAATTTCATCAAAACCATTACAAAAATACCCCAAACTTAAGCATTTATAATATTAGTAAGACATCACATACATGGATATTGGAAATCTGAAACAGTAAAAATAACATATTCGAGGCAAATCTGGGTCATCACAAATGGCGACACCTTGAAATCACCTCATGAATTACACTCCACAGGGGCACTCATATAATGTGATTTAATAATATAATAAATATACTTAAAAATTCACTGAATACTGTAATAAGCTTGCTATAAAGCGATCACAACGCTAAATTACATTGAAAGATTAATGAAAGACCACTCTATAGGACGCCAGTAGAACCCCTGCTCTTATAACTGAATTATAATCTAATTTTATAAGATGAATAATAATGGTATATTAAAGTCCGCTAAGGCATCTGTCCTCTCGCATTTGATGTCCCGCATTGTGCAAAAGTCCCGGTACATTGCCAAGGAAAATTAATTTATTTCCATACCATGCAGGGGTGACAATTATATATTACAAATTTGTTACTCGTATATTTAATATGAAATCTTTATTGTTCGTTTATGTATAATGTTTTATTATAATGTTTATGTTATAATAATATGAAAAATATTTACAAATGGCAAATTAGTCAATGCCAAATATAGATTAAATGCATTATAGTATTGGATATCTGTAATGACAATGTAAGCGTGAAATAAATAAATCAAAAATATAAAAAGTTGAGTTTAAAATAAAACGCAAAACTAAGTTTTCTACTGTAGATAATTAAATTCCAAATCGATTGCAGAAATCTGAAATGCATTTTTTTAAATTTTTCTATGTCTCTATAATGTCCATAGTTTATTGTCAACAGCTTTAATCAATCAGCTGTAACAGTCAGCAACAGGTTATATAAATCTGTCACTTGATTTTAAACCTTAATGCTTTGGTAGTAGAGTTTAAAATCAGTTTAAAATCACTCAAACAGTGGGAATTTGATGTATACTCTGGTAGATGCCGTGTGAATGTTATGAATTAAAATCCAAAATTCCTATGATATAGTTGCAACTTTTATACTTACACTTATCATTTATATACACCTACACCCCTACTGCTGCTATTGCATTTTTGCGATCTCTTTCTTCATCATCTGGTAGCTTATAAGAAATCCAATTACCTAGAACGCCGTCAAATGTTACGTAATTTAAGTTAGTCGTATTATAATATTGACAATAAATAATAAGCTACCTAACTATCTAAAAACTAAACAAAGTTTTTTAATCAGTGATCATAATTATGACGCCATTAAATTAATACTTATTTACTTATGTAATATCATTTATTCGGTATAGTAATTGTATAAGTCAAAATAACTACTTATAAAAGTTAGAGCTATTCACCATTTATATATACGTCTATAATTTATATACATATACGTCTGATGACGCAGTGGCTAGCGCGCTTGGTCTGCGATACGATTGTTAAGCAACATTCGCAATGGCCGGTCATAAGATGGGTGACCAAAAATTTACTATCACGATCTTCTCCGTGCTTCAGAAGGCATATTTAGCTGTTGATCCCGGCAACATCTGCTGTCGTTAACACCCACCAATCCCACCAGATGGTGGTTCATGGCCGATTCTCCCTATTCGATTTCACCCAAAAGCCTGGGCCCCAGCAAAAGGGACATTAATAGGGTGGTGACATTACGTTTTTATTTATGCAGTTCAAGTCGACAACCCTACATTAAGGTACAAAATCTATGTGCTTGGATTTTAAATAAAAGCTCTCTCTGCATACTGCATAGTTCTTTATTAAGCTAATATAAAGCTATTTCTTTCTAAAAGTAAAATACTAATTCTCATTTATAAAGCTCACGGTAATAAAGTCGAGAGCACAAAAACTTTATTTATTGACCAGTAAACAGGTTAAGCTAGAATTATTTGTACAATATTCACCAATGTAATCAGCTGCATCTATTCTACTCGTATACTTGGATTAATTGATAATAATATCCTTTCTGATTTTAGTTTTTTTTTTAATGTTCAGTTGATGGAAGTTTGATAAAACTAGGATTTTATGACTTGTGAATCGTAAAAAACTCAAGTAAATGAGAATAAGTTGAGATTTTTTATTCTGGTCTTAAATTAAATATTATTTCTTATTATATTACGAGCTAGATTTGAAACTTTCCATAAACTCGTTTCTTTTATGTGTAAATGAAATTGGAAAAAAACTCGCTTAAAAATGGTCTGTTTAAGTTTCCAGAGATAAAAAATGTTAAAACCTTTACGGCCATTACCGACAAAGCTAAAGTAAAAGATGTAAGAGCATCCAAAATGCATTTACTTCCCACCTCACAGACAGTATGACGATAAGTAAAGTGAGGCAATAGTTCAAACGGAGCCAGCTCGGACGCAGCTGCCTGGCGACGTAAGATGCTCATTCAATATTTACGGTGACTCTGTATGTGAGTGGACTAAGTCAAAGAAATTCACTAATTTGTACAAAAGGCAAACTATGATCTAGTTACTCCTGGGTACAAAGAAGTTAGTTAATAATAACAACATTTCTAATGTAGCAATAGTGGTTTCAGGATTTTTCCCTTTAATTACCATCTTACCCAGACACAAACATGAATAAGACGTGTCTCGGTCAGTTTCTCATCCAGTGGTCTTACTTTTAAGCCCCTTTTTATGTACCAGTTTGGGACCTTACCTAGTAAGTAGTGAGACTGATATTTTGCTTTTTCGTGAGAGGCCAGCATTCAGCACTGTATGTTAGAGCGGATCTTATTGTAGTCTTATATTTTTTAAGACTTTCAAGAATTGGAGTTACAAATTAATAAAGTATTTTTAGCATTGAACTAGAAATTGTGTTTTAATTTGCAACGAATTCGCTGCTTTCTAAACAAGGTGTAATGCGATAATATTTGCCGTGTATCATGTTTCATCAGGTTTCAACTAAATTGTAGTGGAATGATGCCACGCGTTCGATCTGAAATTGCAGAGGTTTAGCTTTCGTAAAGGTAGGTTATTCAGATAGTAGACTAAAATTATAATATCGTGAGTTTCTCCCACTATGGAAAGCATGTTTAAAATATTAATATTAACTTAATCTCCAGTCAAAAATACTCAAAGGATTATGGTCAATCAGTGGGAACATTAATAGCTATGCTACGATTAAAAATCTATAAGAATTACCACCCCATAAATTTTGAGTCCCATCTTTATTATTTCTATAGTCCCCAATAGATTGCAGATATGATATTCTGGCAATATTGATTTCTATACGTGATACTGAGTGCAAAGCAGACAAGCCTATAGTAGGATTATTTTTTTAAGATGCTGAATTTTCTATACTAATGTTATATAAAGGAAAGATTTTATTGTTTATTTATATCGAATAGGCGTCAAAATCACTGGACGGATTTTAAAATTCTTTCAACTTCGGCTAGCTAGGCTAGGGTTGACATAAGCGGAAAAACAGCTAATATAAATATAAACAGTATTCGAAATATAATCAAAAACTTATTAACAAATCTGAATTTATTTTAATAATTTTCAAAGCCATCGAAGCCATTCAAAAATTGGTAACGAAAAAAAAAATCTTATGTGAAAATCTTTTGCCTTGTACCAATCTTTGTAATTTGTACGTTTACAGTTCTATTTGATGCTGTGGCTTAAATCTGTTGATGTCTGCCCACTTATTTTTATACTTAGTAAACACATTTGAAGCCAAAGAGACATCGGTTCTTTGTCCACATTTAGTGGTGTTTGGTAGAAACAATGTTCTTTGACTGAAAGAAGAACCAATACATTTTTGACTAAAAGAAGAATAATGGAAAAATACACTATAAAGGTAGGTGATCAAAAATCATCATCAGCCAATGTGACTTTAGAGCTGCATAACATAAATGTCAATATTGGGTAAGAAAGAAAAGACGGTCTTTGCTGCTATTCTCTACATTTGTTATGTCCTTTTTTTGCCTTACAAATCACACTAAATTGCCAATATGTAAAAATACGATTGCTATCACATTCAGCCAATTGAAATTCTAAGAGAATTACAGACCCTCCGCCAAACACATGATTTGCATACCCGATGCAAATGGATTGGTAATAGCAACCCCAATAACGAGAGATCTGCTTATTCGCGCGGTTAAATTAACATCCGGAGTTGTTTCATTGTGAATGTCTCTGTACCGTCAGTTCCTATTGCCAAAATGCACCAAACTGAAATAAAGTAAATAGGAAGTGAAATAAAGTAAAAAGTCTGTACACTGATGACTGAAGGTAAATTCAAAAGTATGAAGTCTCCTTGCGTATAATGTTAATAAAAATAAACAAGAGTAAGGTCTTCAGTATAAGCAGGGGATGCAAAGAATAATCTATACATACCTATATCCTATTAATATCCTATTAATATTATAAATGTGAAAGTTTCTTTGTTTGGATGTTTAGATGTTTGGATGTTTGGATGTTTGGATGTTTGTACGTCAATCACGCCGAAACGAATGAACGGATTTTGATGAAATTTGGTATACAGATAGGGTATTACCTGACTTAGATAATAGGATACTTTTTATCCCACCAAAAGGTTCCCTAGGGATAAAAGTACCTCCAACGGCGCCTATTTTTGTGAACGCTGCCTAAACGGTATGAGATATACGAATGCTTTCTAAAGAAAAGTTGGAGAGCCTTAAATTATCTATAAAAAAGTCCGCGATGTCATATATCTATATGCAAGGGTTTTGCCATAAAAATAAAAAGAACTTCATATAAGTCTATTTAAATTTTTCGTCCGTCTTTAAACGTTTATTTAAGTAGGTGATATTAAATCCTTATCGAAATAAATATGTTTATCGTCGAAGAAATTTAATATACATGAAAATTGTCTTTTACACCATATAGATTGGATGAGTAGTTTAGATTTTAATACAATGTTTTTGAGAAAATAAAACAACGTATATTGCCGATTTTCTAAACACTATTTTATGTACATGTATGTATTAAGATAAAACATCATTTTTAATGTAATCAGTAACATTAAGCCCAACAGATGGCATTACCCTGTGGCATTACTGTAGTATTCTACATTACGATGTTGTATTACCGCAACTACTTGGATATAGATGACTGTGACCCTGCGGTGCGGATAGTTGTAAGTGTTTTCTGTGTCGTTTTGGTTCTGCGTTGTCAATTGATTCTATTTGTCGATTTGGCTATTCTAACGGACTTGACTTGATATTTTGTGTGATTTTTTCTCAAATAACTTCTATATTTTCTATCTACTTAGCTATTCTCTTACTTTACATATTTATATTAAGATCTGTATTTAGCTTTCTAAATCTACTTCTCAATTAACTCTTTGTTTATTTCTTCGGTCTACCTCTGAATCTTGCAAGTCAAGAAAATCCAACGTGCAACATTAGCAAAAGCAGCGACCGCGGTTCCCTTTTGCAACAATGTAAATTAATCGTATAGGACGAGTGCACAATGTCACACAAGCGCGCGGTTGAGCTTTGAACCGGAGCCTGCTGGACATCCGCAGCAATGAGACGCTGATGGGAGGTGCTGTTGTTGTACTCACTGGTGATTTTCGGCAAACTCTTCCAGTTATCGAAAAGGGTACACCGGCAGATGAAATGAACGCGTGTCTCAAGGCTTCGTCACTTTGGTCCCACGTAGAAAAACTCCACCTTACTATGACGGAATATGCGTGCACAACTTTACAATGATACAGAGTCAGGTCATTTGCGAGTAAGCTGCTCGAGGTCGGAGATGGTAGGCTGAAAACCGATCCGGACGGCAAAATCATTTTCACCAATGAATTTTGTCATCCAGTAGCTACCGAGGAAGAACTACTCGCCAATGTATTTCCCGATTTAAAAAACAAAATAAATAATGAGGAGTGGTTGTTTGAGAGAGCAGTACTGTCGCCAAAAAATGAATTAGTGAATAAAATAAACAACAAGGTATTAGATGTAGTAGATGGCGCATCGAGGGTGTACACGTCCATAGACACGGTGATGGCAAGCGATGACAGCACTGCGTATCCCGTGGAGTTTCTCAACTCATTAGAATTGACGGGCGTACCGCCCCACAAGCTGGAGCTGAAGGTTGGCGTCCCAGTTTTGTTGATGCGTAATCTTGACGCTCCGCGATTGTGCAACGGCACAAGATTACAAATCAGCGAACTGGGAAGAAACATTGTGCGAGCAACAATACTTACGGCAGCAGCTAAAGGCAAGAGCGTGTTGATTCCCCGCATACCCATTATACCCCACAATTTTCCATTCCAGTTCAAAAGGCTGCAGTTCCCATTGAAATTGGCATTTGCTATGACCATCAATAAGTCCCAGGGACAAACCCTAAAAGTGGCCAGCATGCATTTGGGCATTCCCTGCTTTACCCATGGCCAACTCTATGTGGCATGTTCTCCAGTGTCAAATGCAAGGAACCTGTATGTACTTGCTGCAAATAATAGATCATACAACATCGTATATAGATCAATATTATAAGATAGTCATAATCGATGTTGTATGATTTATTATTATAAAAATCTGTTCAGTGGTTGCAGCGTGATTGACTGGCAAACATGAAATTGTTAATGAAAAAAAATAGAAGTTAGTTAGGTCAGATTTACTTTACTCTGGATATACCTACAGAATTATTTAAATTATTTTTTACCTCACTAAACATTTCCTTAGGAACCACGCGGGCGAAGCCGCTGGCGAAAGCTAGTCCTATTAATATTATAAATGCGAAAGTTTCTTTGTTTGGATGTTTAGATGTTTGGATGTTTGGATGTTTGGATGTTTGTACGTCAATCACGCCGAAACGAATGAACGGATTTTGATGAAATTGGGTATACAGATAGAGTATTACCTGACTTAGATACTAGGATACTTTTTATCCCACCAAAAGGTTCCCTAGGGATAAAAGTACCTCCAACGGCGCCTATTTTTGTGAACGCTGCCTAAACGGTATGAGATATACTAATGCTTTCTAAGGAAAAGTTGGAGAGCCTTAAATTATCTATAAAACAGTCCGCGATGTCATATATCTATATGCAAGGGTTTTGCCACAAAAATAAAAAGAACTTCATATAAGTCTATTTAAATTTTTCGTCCGTCTTTAAACGTTTATTTAAGTAGGTGATATTAAATCCTTATCGAAATAAATATGTTTATCGTCGAAGAAATTTAATATACATGAAAATTGTCTTTTACACCATATAGATTGGATGAGTAGTTTAGATTTTAATACGATGTTTTTGAGAAAATAAAACAACGTATATTGCCGATTTTCTAAACACTATTTTATGTACATGTATGTATTAAGATAAAACATCATTTTTAATGTAATCAGTAACATTAAGCCCAACAGATGGCATTACCCTGTGGCATTACTGTAGTATTCTACATTACGATGTTGTATTACCGCAACTACTTGGATATAGATGACTGTGACCCTGCGGTGCGGATAGTTGTAAGTGTTTTCTGTGTCGTTTTGGTTCTGCGTTGTCAATTGATTCTATTTGTCGATTTGGCTATTCTAACGGACTTGACTTGATATTTTGTGTGATTTTTTCTCAAATAACTTCTATATTTTCTATCTACTTAGCTATTCTCTTACTTTACATATTTATATTAAGATCTGTATTTAGCTTTCTAAATCTACTTCTCAATTAACTCTTTGTTTATTTCTTCGGTCTACCTCTGAATCTTGCAAGTCAAGAAAATCCAACGTGCAACATTAGCAAAAGCAGCGACCGCGGTTCCCTTTTGCAACAATGTAAATTAATCGTATAGGACGAGTGCACAATGTCACACAAGCGCGCGGTTGAGCTTTGAACCGGAGCCTGCTGGACATCCGCAGCAATGAGACGCTGATGGGAGGTGCTGTTGTTGTACTCACTGGTGATTTTCGGCAAACTCTTCCAGTTATCGAAAAGGGTACACCGGCAGATGAAATGAACGCGTGTCTCAAGGCTTCGTCACTTTGGTCCCACGTAGAAAAACTCCACCTTACTATGACGGAATATGCGTGCACAACTTTACAATGATACAGAGTCAGGTCATTTGCGAGTAAGCTGCTCGAGGTCGGAGATGGTAGGCTGAAAACCGATCCGGACGGCAAAATCATTTTCACCAATGAATTTTGTCATCCAGTAGCTACCGAGGAAGAACTACTCGCCAATGTATTTCCCGATTTAAAAAACAAAATAAATAATGAGGAATGGTTGTTTGAGAGAGCAGTACTGTCGCCAAAAAATGAATTAGTGAATAAAATAAACAACAAGGTATTAGATGTAGTAGATGGCGCATCGAGGGTGTACACGTCCATAGACACGGTGATGGCAAGCGATGACAGCACTGCGTATCCCGTGGAGTTTCTCAACTCATTAGAATTGACGGGCGTACCGCCCCACAAGCTGGAGCTGAAGGTTGGCGTCCCAGTTTTGTTGATGCGTAATCTTGACGCTCCGCGATTGTGCAACGGCACAAGATTACAAATCAGCGAACTGGGAAGAAACATTGTGCGAGCAACAATACTTACGGCAGCAGCTAAAGGCAAGAGCGTGTTGATTCCCCGCATACCCATTATACCCCACAATTTTCCATTCCAGTTCAAAAGGCTGCAGTTCCCATTGAAATTGGCATTTGCTATGACCATCAATAAGTCCCAGGGACAAACCCTAAAAGTGGCCAGCATGCATTTGGGCATTCCCTGCTTTACCCATGGCCAACTCTATGTGGCATGTTCTCCAGTGTCAAATGCAAGGAACCTGTATGTACTTGCTGCAAATAATAGATCATACAACATCGTATATAGATCAATATTATAAGATAGTCATAATCGATGTTGTATGATTTATTATTATAAAAATCTGTTCAGTGGTTGCAGCGTGATTGACTGGCAAACATGAAATTGTTAATGAAAAAAAATAGAAGTTAGTTAGGTCAGATTTACTTTACTCTGGATATACCTACAGAATTATTTAAATTATTTTTTACCTCACTAAACATTTCCTTAGGAACCACGCGGGCGAAGCCGCTGGCGAAAGCTAGTAATACATATTTGTCAGTCACATGTCAAAACGTGTTTTTTTATTATACTTGCTGTTTTTATTATATAAAATAATTTGTGCTTGAATGTTTTCAAAATGTTATATTAAGTTGTCATTTTCGTTCTTAATTATGTTATCAAACACCAATTTCCATTACTATATAAGGAAATCTTTATGAATAATTTTAGATAGATTTATTATAATGACAAATTAATTTGTAAACAGTGGTTGTTATGGTAATATTTTGATTCCCCACGAAAACTTCCACTTCTATTTTTATACACCAGCTTTTCCCTTCGGGGTGGAATTTCCAAAAATCCATTTTTAGTACACCTCTATGTAATAAGACGATTGGATTCTCCAAATTTCAAATCTCTACAACCAAAGGTTTAGGCTGTGCGTTGTCCGTCAGTAAGTCCTTTTATATGTATACTAGCTTTCGCCAGCGGCTTCGCCCGCGTGGTTCCTAAGGAAATGTTTAGTGAGGTAAAAAATAATTTAAATAATTCTGTAGATATAACTAGAGTAAAGTAAATCTGACCTAACTAACTTCTATTTTTTTTCATTAACAATTTCATGTTTGCCAGTCAATCACGCTGCAACCACTGAACAGATTTTTATAATAATAAATCATACAACATCGATTATGACTATCTTATAATATTGATCTATATACGATGTTGTATGATCTATTATTTGCAGCAAGTACATACAGGTTCCTTGCATTTGACACTGGAGAACATGCCACATAGAGTTGGCCATGGGTAAAGCAGGGAATGCCCAAATGCATGCTGGCCACTTTTAGGGTTTGTCCCTGGGACTTATTGATAGTCATAGCAAATGCCAATTTCAATGGGAACTGCAGCCTTTTGAACTGGAATGGAAAATTGTGGGGTATAATGGGTATGCGGGGAATCAACACGCTCTTGCCTTTAGCTGCTGCCGTAAGTATTGTTGCTCGCACAATGTTTCTTCCCAGTTCGCTGATTTGTAATCTTGTGCCGTTGCACAATCGCGGAGCGTCAAGATTACGCATCAACAAAACTGGGACGCCAACCTTCAGCTCCAGCTTGTGGGGCGGTACGCCCGTCAATTCTAATGAGTTGAGAAACTCCACGGGATACGCAGTGCTGTCATCGCTTGCCATCACCGTGTCTATGGACGTGTACACCCTCGATGCGCCATCTACTACATCTAATACCTTGTTGTTTATTTTATTCACTAATTCATTTTTTGGCGACAGTACTGCTCTCTCAAACAACCACTCCTCATTATTTATTTTGTTTTTTAAATCGGGAAATACATTGGCGAGTAGTTCTTCCTCGGTAGCTACTGGATGACAAAATTCATTGGTGAAAATGATTTTGCCGTCCGGATCGGTTTTCAGCCTACCATCTCCGACCTCGAGCAGCTTACTCGCAAATGACCTGACTCTGTATCATTGTAAAGTTGTGCACGCATATTCCGTCATAGTAAGGTGGAGTTTTTCTACGTGGGACCAAAGTGACGAAGCCTTGAGACACGCGTTCATTTCATCTGCCGGTGTACCCTTTTCGATAACTGGAAGAGTTTGCCGAAAATCACCAGTGAGTACAACAACAGCACCTCCCATCAGCGTCTCATTGCTGCGGATGTCCAGCAGGCTCCGGTTCAAAGCTCAACCGCGCGCTTGTGTGACATTGTGCACTCGTCCTATACGATTAATTTACATTGTTGCAAAAGGGAACCGCGGTCGCTGCTTTTGCTAATGTTGCACGTTGGATTTTCTTGACTTGCAAGATTCAGAGGTAGACCGAAGAAATAAACAAAGAGTTAATTGAGAAGTAGATTTAGAAAGCTAAATACAGATCTTAATATAAATATGTAAAGTAAGAGAATAGCTAAGTAGATAGAAAATATAGAAGTTATTTGAGAAAAAATCACACAAAATATCAAGTCAAGTCCGTTAGAATAGCCAAATCGACAAATAGAATCAATTGACAACGCAGAACCAAAACGACACAGAAAACACTTACAACTATCCGCACCGCAGGGTCACAGTCATCTATATCCAAGTAGTTGCGGTAATACAACATCGTAATGTAGAATACTACAGTAATGCCACAGGGTAATGCCATCTGTTGGGCTTAATGTTACTGATTACATTAAAAATGATGTTTTATCTTAATACATACATGTACATAAAATAGTGTTTAGAAAATCGGCAATATACGTTGTTTTATTTTCTCAAAAACATTGTATTAAAATCTAAACTACTCATCCAATCTATATGGTGTAAAAGACAATTTTCATGTATATTAAATTTCTTCGACGATAAACATATTTATTTCGATAAGGATTTAATATCACCCACTTAAATAAACGTTTAAAGACGGACGAAAAATTTAAATAGACTTATATGAAGTTCTTTTTATTTTTATGGCAAAACCCTTGCATATAGATATATGACATCGCGAACTTTTTTATAGATAATTTAAGGCTCTCCAACTTTTCTTTAGAAAGCATTCGTATATCTCATACCGTTTAGGCAGCGTTCACAAAAATAGGCGCCGTTGGAGGTACTTTTATCCCTAGGGAACCTTTTGGTGGGATAAAAAGTATCCTATTATCTAAGTCAGGTAATACCCTATCTGTATACCAAATTTCATCAAAATCCGTTCATTCGTTTCGGCGTGATTGACGTACAAACATCCAAACATCCAAACATCCAAACATCTAAACATCCAAACAAAGAAACTTTCACATTTATAATATTAATAGGATTTTCATGTCTCCTGAAAAGTAAGGGTATTAAGGGTAGGGCTTATGCCCTTTAGCTGGAAGCCCACCATGTGTCCTAATTAATGGTTTATTATTTATATGATATGTCTTAATTTATATGATAAAAATACATACTATTTTAAATACTTAATCGGGTCTTGTTCGTGTATTATTTTAAAACAATTAATTTACCTCGACGTTTCGGCTACGTTACAGCAACCGTGGTCACGAGGAGACTGGAAAACTGGCGGGTGTCGTCTTCTGATTTTAGTTGAGGGTAATCCGGTAATAATGTTTTTAACAGATTTTCAAATGTACCCTCCCCTTGATTTATTGTACGTAAAGGTGACGACACACTGCACTTACGGTATCCGAGAATATTGTTCGTGGTTGTTGATGATGTTGTGTATACCAGTTATTGGCTATTATTGAAGCCCTGTACAGTTATTCCTATATATACCTTAAATAAATATAGCTTTATGTTTGCAATGTCTTCGAAGGTAATTTATTCTAATATTGAGGAATATTATGCTATAAATGAAACTAATAATTGTGTTTCGTACCGTGATCCTTGACTGTTAACCAGTTCCCTGAGCTTTCTACAGTCGCACTGTAGAAGAACGATCTGATGGTTACATCGACGTTTAGCCAGTTGGCCAAATGTATACATTATAAATTAACCTCAAAGTTTTTTCATTAGTTCACACAAAATCTTTTTAATTAAAATCGAAATAAAAAACGGCTGCAAGTAGAAGTGGTGAATTGTAATCAATGTAAATTGTGATTTGTATTTTGGTCTATTTATATAGATAAATGTCTGATAATCTCTTATTATATGGAACACCATATAATATATGGTGTAATTACATAATATTATACATGCGAAAATTAGTCAGTGTATATGTCTGTTATGCTCTCACGCCTAAACAACTAAGCCCAGTTGACTTGAGATAGGATATAGGTTAATTTATAGTATGATAAAAGCGTTGAAACTTTATATTCAGTTTTTTTTACATGATAAAGTGAATTAATATTTGGTTCACATTTTTGGAAATGCTGCCCAAAATATAACATTTAAGTAGTCCGAACTACTTACTGACCCGTCTCTATAGAATTATATACAATTATTAAATAAATGCGCTTATCTACGCCACCGAGCTACTTTTATCATATAATAATATGATATGATAATATGATAAAAGTAGCTCGGTGGCGTAGATAAAAGCCGCGGCCCGCGATCGTTATTGTTAAGCAACTTTTGCAAGGGTCGAACTACTGCGTGCTTCGGAAGGCACGTTAAGCCCGTTGATCCCGGCTGCATTTGCAATCATTGATTCCATCCGATCTGCATTGGGCCAGCGTGGAGGGTCGTAGACCATTCTCCCTAACCATCTATAAGGAAGGCCTGAACCTCTGCTGTGGGAACATTAAATTGTATGACAAACAATCACAACAGAGTTGTACTAAAATATGTAACAAAATATCTACCGATAGCTATTTTTACAGTATAAAATACAAAAATTTTCAAGTTTCATTCTCATATGTCTCTAGGAATTTGTTAAGAATATGAACCTTGGCTCATAAGTATTTAAGTATTTATAAGACCACAGATAATACCTCCTTAAGCCATTGTTATAATTAGATCGATTACTGTGTGTCATATTGAACTGGAACAAAAGTATACATATATTGTGTGTATGAGATTCATAGCAGAGCCACAACAGCATGTACATTCAGAGGCATGTTTACAGGCTGAATAGAACCATTTCAGTCTGAAACGAAGCCAGTACTCGGCTATGCATAAAGCCAAAGCCACTAAGAAGCAATCTTATTATTGAAGAGGTAGAGTTTTATTTTTATAAAAAGTTCGCTGACGCAGTGGCAGTGGCACGCTCGATACGGTTGTTAAGCAAATTTCGCAATAGGTGATCAAAAATTTATTCTTTAGAGCTCCTCCGTGCTGCTATTCCTTCTAAAAGGAATACACAGGCCTTCGTATACTACAGCCAGTGGCGTAA